CAATTCACAAAATCTTATTGATTAGGTCCTAAAATATCATAGAAATGTTTTATCGTGTAGGAGTAGGTTGGAAGAAAGCTAGGGGCAGCCAGATTTAAAACATGGCACAAATCCATGAAATCACTGACAAGTGGATTGAGCCATGTTGGTAGGTGTAGACTACCTGGTTGGGATCCGCGAAGTGATAGCAACCGATGGCTAGAGACCTTGAATGACGGCTCAAAATCGTATCACACTGCTCCGAACATTAACAGCTCACATTTGTTGATTGCGCATTGTGCGAGCAATCCCTTGACAGTAACTATGATCGGATACCTATCGTCCCACTCAAAGTTTCCTACTTAATAGTCCATGTGTCAAGGTAGTGCACCATGAACTGGTGCTTGCATGTTCTCTAACAGCTATTGGTTGGAAAAAATGGTTCGATAATCGCCCAAGATTGTCCTTGATATTGATTGATTTTACGACAAACGCTATTGCTTGTAGACATTAACATCATATGGTTTTTAATGAATTTGAATGCGAGTTAAATTCACTAATCATTAGAGTAAATTTCTCTGCGAACTTATCTATACACTTAGCTTTTAATCCAGAAATACGTTTGCTTTCTTTCTGTTGATATTGTGCTAATTAGTGGTTATATTTTTGGCCTTACTGTTCATAAGGATGATAAGACTGAATTACATTGAGTTTTCTTCATTGAATTTCGATATGTCTTTACGATTCTCTCCAAAGCGTTTTGATAAAAAAATTTGATTACTAGGGGTTAATAATAATAGCTAGACTAAACGGTGTTATCAGCATAAAACCGCGTTGTGATTCTTACGGTAGTACTGGAAAACTTATTTTTAATTCTAGGATTTATTCGGTTTTTCACTTGCCGAATCGACGCCGAGACGATAGACCAGAAACAGATGGACGGGAATAACTTACTGACAATTATAACAAATTTAAATTGCCTCATTTCGTCTTGATACAGAGGGGTGACACCGACAATAAAAAACAAATAGTATCCCGAAAATAACTGCTATATTGGAACTGAGATAGTTTATTTATTTGGGTTATTATTACTATCGGCACATCGATAGAAGGGGGGCACCAAATATACATGTGCCACACAATAAAAATGAGGTTACGAAGAGATAGAGAAGATGAACGAGTATAATAAGAAAAGAACAACAACCGTGATTGGAAATCAGTGTATGAGAGTGAAATAATAATAGTGGGAGAAGTATTTCATCTGGAAAAAATTTAGCCAGATAGCATTTTTTCAGTTAAAGAAGCTACAATCACTTTTATAAAGAAAATTACAACTGGATCCCTACTTCCTTATACTCTGAGCCATGTCTGATAACGTCTCGATCCACTGTGTTGCACTATCTCTAGAGCACCAACCAGGTAGTCTTGAAGGACCAACTAAAACCAGTTCTATACAGATTTAATTCATACCACAGCACCATGTTATGTGATGATCACCTTCCCGCTTTTTCCGACCACTCTCAATGTTGGCGAATAATGCATGGTGTGAAATTCGCTAAGACGATATTTGTAGGATATGTCCAAGCCAACGAAATCGGTGCTTCAAGATGATGACACCGACTAAATTATCATCTCTGTACTCGAACACAGGATACCGAACCTCTGCATTACTAACATAGTGTTGCCACTGGATGTTGGCATTCTTTCGGAGACAGCGATGATAAAACACAGGGTTGTCTGACATACTCAACTCTGAGAGACCAGGTTTCTCAGGCATAGAGTGAAATTGCTTTCACCAACGTGTTGTAGACCCGACCTTTTTCAGCCAGACTAACATCACGAAGGCACCAACGATAACCCAGACTGGCATAATCCGCTCTGGCTTTCACTATTCGTGAATTGATCTCATCACTCACGCCACCGCCGGCACTTATGCAACTACCCATATACACGAACTTCTCGACCACTTCTATCTGCTCACTACCCAGGGTGAATGCACGATGGGGGTCCTGCCAGTCTTGTAGAAGTACTTTGTACTTCGAAGGTGCGAATCACACGCCGTACTTACAGACACTAATTGCCAACTGACCGGATGCGGATTGCACGGCTTGGGTATCATCTTACAATAAGACAATATCATCCTCATACTTAAGGTCGAGAAGTCTTTTTCCAGACAACAGATCCACACCGCCATTACTTACATCTATCAGAGCTGTTTCTGGAATGTCATCGACGACAAAGTTGAAGAGGAATGGTGAGATTGGGCAACTTTGTATAACCCCACTACTTGAATGGAACAACCGAGAGAGGCAGTTGTATGCCCTCACTCTGCCTGAAATTTTTGTATATAGGGCTTCCAAGATGTTAGTAAAATTTTCGGGCACATTCTTCTTCAATGGACAATTCTAGGGAACAGTCCTGTCCAACTAAGCGAAGGCAGCCATGATGTCAAGAAACTACGATTATTGGTCTCTAATAAGCATGGCGATATTCTGACATTTTTCAAAGGGTCAAGATATGTTCAATACACCCTCGACCAGGACGCTTGCTCCTCGGGAGTCAATCTTTCCGGGTTTCAAACAATCTACGAAGTACGACAGAAACCGATAGTTTGGAATTAGTTGAAAGTAGACTTATCCCTCGACAGTTGTTGCATAGGTAACGTCAACCCTTTTTGAAGGTGGGGACGACTATCGACTTATTTCACGATATTTGAACACTCTAACTACCAGAAGTTTATAAATTACTCGATCGATTCTTTGACCAAAAGGTCGCTGTCATCACTAAGAAGGCCAGAAGTAAGTCATCTGGGTCTGGTGATTTGTAGCGCTTCAAGAGTTGCAGTTACTTGCGAACTTCTGCTTTGTTATGTCGATTAGTCGTCAGTGACCATGGAAGACGGGGCAGTCTGATAGATGTTGCCGGGAAACAGACCAGTTGAACGGTTCCTCGAAAAACTCTGCCCACCAGACGTTTTGCTGCCAGTGGCTCAGATGGGTTGACAGAACGTTTGTTAGTTACCAGGTGCTACTGCTCCCAACTCGTTAGCACGCTGCGACCACCGGGCTTCTCGGTCCTTACACAAGCTTTGCTCAACTTCATTACGAAACAGTCTTTTTTAAAGTCAAACTCGCGTTTTTCCGGAATAGGTCGACGTGCTTCAACTAATTGAAAAGAGCCTGTAGAAACCAAGTGATTACATGCGGAACGTTTCGCAAAACCGCAAGCCACTTTACTCTCCACTTTCATGGCATCATGCAATTTCAGCTAACGGTCATCTATAATTCTCAACGGTTTGATAGGTAGCCTTAATCCGAGCTCGGTTTGATATTTAGTTGCAACAGAAGCCGCAACCAGTTTGCTGACATCGATTCGTTTAGGGCGGTAAGTCAGTTGGCCACCAAAATGTAAGACATTATTAGCGCAGGTAAGGGCATGGTCAGAGTCCAGATTGATACACCAAAAGAAGCAGCAGTCTTGCACATAACTACGTTATAGGTAGCCGATCGCAATGTGACCAATCTGAGTTCAGGTTTGAGATGCAGATGGAGGACGTCAGGTATCACACCTGCGATGACCGTCCCTATAGTTAATGCTAGCTAGAAACTGGTTTTACAGTTACAGTAGGTCACCGTTATCTGACTAGCGACTAACAAGTCCCGATTAGGCGCACAAATGACCCCTGTGCCTAGACGCCCGATCTGTGCATTCATGTCTCGGGCTAGCACTACCATATCTGCAGGACACACTTTCTGTAGAACACTTGAATGGTAATAAGGCTCATCCTTGATCGCACCCGGGCTGCAGTCTGTTGGAGCATTGACGGAGATGACGGAAGTACATCATTTTGCTCACTCATTTTCTCACTTTGATGGAGCTTTCTGATCTAAAAGCACATAGCCGACTGTTAACAGGGATCCAACTAATTAGCGCGGCGCCAACACTAGAAAAACTAGACGAAGGTACTGCAGGATCCCCGGATAAAAACACACAAATCAAGCTTTTCGAACGGCCAGATGGAGAGCGAATTTGTAGTACTTCACTAGAGTCTTGAATACGGGTCTCAGATAGACAACAGACATCGATGTTGCTACTTTTTAAAGACATAGCCAACCCTATCGGTTGTCCGATCTGCGTTAGTGTGCGAGCGTCGAAGTAGGCCAGTTAGAATGTCAGATGTTTCAAAAAGGCTGATTTATAATTCATATTCGTTAATAGGATTCAACTTCTGATCAGTCAGTGACTTGAGATCGTTTAGATAGGCTAGCAGCTTATGGAATTTGAAAAATTAGGGAATATACAAAATAGGAATAAAAGAATAGACAAGTGACTCAATGTAAAATGCAAACGATGGTTAATAAGTGGTTTTGAGTATGATTTGCGAGAATGAGAATTAAAGCGTGTGTGGGTTTGGAGACTTCCCGGGCACCCGGGATGAAGCGGGTGGTCTTCAGTGGTCACTCCTTGGACTTTCAACCTAGAGTTCCAGTCCACAGGGTAGTGAAGCAGCGTTATGAGATTCAGTCCCATGGTAGCCAGTGACCAACAATAGGTTCATACGCCATTTGTCCCCTCAGGATACTAGAGCCTATGTGCACCATTGGTTTAGAATGGGGTTTTTTAACCCCCCGCTAGGTGAATCCTCCGTATCCACCAACCAGGTTAAAGCGTTGGACATTCACTTTCCTCCTCAATTTCTCAAACAACACCCTGCCGGGATCAGGCGAATAGGACTTCTCTGACAGTGGCTGTATATGCGTGGCTATGTGAGAGCATTTCGAGATAGAGAGCGAATCCTCCCCACCCTCGGCCGCTTTGGGATATTTGGGGGCCCAAAATCAAACTAAAAAACGAAGGTCATGTTCTGTAAGTTACCTTTCAATGTATGAAATATTTATTTTATAATTAATTTCTTATAACTAATTAGAACTGAGATCTATGATTTCGTTTTAATTGTTAAACAAAGTAGTTTAGTAGTTTTCATTTCTCTAATTTATTTTTTATTTTCCAATACTTTTCAGATAATTTATACTGTAACTGATCTGGTTAGGCACCGACCAGATTTTCATATCATTAAATCTTCAAGAAAGTCTAATCTATGTCTGCATACTTATAAAATCGAGAGTTTCTAGAAAAGACGAAATTATCTTGATATATTGTCTTATTTGTCCAGATACACATACATTCATACATACTTACATACTTAGTCTTTCCATATTTTACTTAAAACACTTTAGCTAGATTTTAGATATATTTTAGGTGGTGCAAAAGAGGAGGCGCCGAAAAGCAGATTCATAAAGAACTTATAATATTATTTGCTTTCGGCTCTCACTTATTTTACTTTTTTTCGTTAATTTTTTTTCAGTATATTAATGTTTATTTTCTAATTTATTTCATATCAATTATACATAAGTATAAATATTTTATTCAAAACAGAGCGAGAGAGTAATTTAATTAATTAATTGTTTATTTAAAGTTTCTATTTTGTTTGTTTCTATTTCAAATATTCTGAAAAATAAGAGCAATTATTTTAACTTGTCATATTTTTCTTCCTGTTATCATCACCATAGATAGAATAATATTATTCCCCAACTATTATTTGATATCCGTCTAGACTGCATATCTTGTTACAGTTATTACAATTTTTTATTGTATTTGAAAAGGAAGACTATTTATACACTTTCTGTCACTTCTTTTCTTATTCTCCTCGTTGTTCTTGTAATTCCATTTTATTGGATTCTCTGTTTGTTCTTAGTTTTTTGTTGCTGATGTTTTCATCTGTGTTACCATATCATTATAGTTTTTTTGGAATTATTTAAATTTTACTTCATGGGTCGCAAAAAAATACTCATCAAGAAGATTGCTGACGAACGAAATCGTCAGGTATGTCATAGATTGTAGTGTTTTCTTTCCATTTTTTTCTAGGAAATATCGTATACTTGCTAGTGACTAACTTTGTGATAGATATTTTAAATGTTTGTGATGGTTTATGACTGTCAAATCTCAGACATGTGCCAAGCAATCCAGTTACCCAACAATGATTACCACTTAACATTAACTGAAATTGGAAATGAGTGTCATTGAATTCTAACCTATTTGAGAGGGGAACATTTTCATTTTGAAATCTGTAGGTCTTGGTTTCGACTCCTAATGTGGTGCGTACTTCTGAAAAGTCTCAAGCCACAACGTAACAACTAAACAGTGCCCCTTAATTTTCAATGGTTCTGAAATTGGAGTGAACTCGTCATGAAACCTATCGCCTACTTAAACTCACCTTCATAAAACGCTTAATCAAACAGAATAATTATCAACTAATGAAATTAGCTTTTTGTATCATTGACGAAGAATTAAAAACAATTCACAGATTTTCTTTTAGTCAGGTTGTCCCAATAGTTTTGACTTACGACTTCCAAGGAATTACTTAGATTATGTACACAAATATGTTTCATCTGCTTAATTATAGACATTATTAACCATGACATCATATCTTTGATACAGCCCTTACTGTATGTATTACATGTTGGTGATTATTTTATTATCCTTTTATTTATTTTGTTATCATACATATTAGATTATTTTTAAAATATTTATTTCCTATTTAGGTTACATTTACAAAACGTAAATTGGGTTTAATGAAAAAAGCATACGAGTTGAGTATACTGTGTGATTGTGAAATAGCTTTAATTGTATTTACGAGTTCACAAAAGTTGTTTCAATATGCTAGTTCAGATATGGACAAAATTTTATTACGATATACTGAATTCAATGAACCACATGAATCAAAAACCAATAGAGATATAGCAGAAGTATGTTTATATTTAGTTCTACTTGTTTACAATATAATCTTGATTTTTTTGTGCGACTTCTTAATACATCTTTTTTAACTCACAAATTATTGAGTAATATTATTTCAACCTTTTAACTTCTAAGTATGAGACATTGGGATCGTCATGGCAAACCAGAAAAAGTCGATAATGTGTATTTATGGAATAGTTAGTTAAAGTTAATAAGGTATAAAGACAGCTATCTCAGTATAAAAAAGTATGACCAGATGGGCTTTTATCGTTGGTTACTCCATTGATTTTCAGAAAGGCCGAAGATCTTGTTGCAATTATCATAAAACATCTGCTTGACTACTATGGCTACACTAATCATTCACTAGTTGGTGACTAACGGTGGGTTTTCAGTAGTACTGACTGAAATATACCTATCGAGCTTACATCATATCCATTAAATCAAGTGACTTTATATCAAGTTGCACTTTATCTAATGTTTAATGGTTGGAGCCAGTCATAAAAAATCTCGACCTAGATTCCTTCAATTATCAGCTAGGTATATCCTGAACCATGAAAATACTGGAACTCTTAGATATTCATACCTAGAGGTTATCACTTCCTAGCTCAAAATCTTTATCCAGAGATACTTACCGATTATCTCCAGCCGTCTAATGGCATTTATAGTGACTGAAATGTTCTCGAAAATATTACTTTTTTGTTATATTGTACTGTTAACGGCACAAACAACAGTTTTCTTCATTACTTCTGAAAGGTGAAATATGATGTATGAAAATAGAAGACATGGATAAGTTACAAATATTTGATTATGGATGTCTTCAAAGCATTAATTCTTGATTGAACCGACAAACACATGTGCTGATTTCTACGTTATGTTTAACTAATTGTTGGTATTAATAAGTGTACAGTTTTATGTGTACCTGAAGTTAAAATATTTAATTGTTCAGTACTAGCGTAGTGTCCATTCTATTTTTAACCATTAGAAAATGAATAGTCAGGAATGTTAATTACGTTTCGAGTTACTTCTTTGTAGACATAGACGACTGACACTATCTGGTGTTGTTGATAAACTGTGATTTTTGTCCAGTGGTTTTAATAAGGTCTTCCTCACCTTTCAATTTGTGGTTTGTTTTCAACTGTTTAGAATTGTTTCAATCTCTTCAGTCACATTAATGATACTCTTTTATTTTTCCATGAAAAATATTCTAGATTCCACATAATTTCTTTCGAATTGTAGTATTTCTTCTTCAAATCACACTCTTAAAGTTAGTGTAGGTGTTTGAGAAGACGATATATTAAATTCTGTAAACAAATTGTCTGTATATTTAGGTTACTCAAATAAAATCTAATGAGTATGTTCAAAGTTTAGTCTAAATCGATTTTAAAATCAAATATAAATCGCTTACCAATTGTTTGTTTTTTTCCATGCTTTTATATGTTAATTAGAACTTAATTAGTCAAGAATAATTTAAATGGTGACCAAAATTACAAATAGTAACACAAGAAATATATCCTGCCATCACTTCTGATTTTCAGATAACACATTTTCTGAATTATGTGTTATTAAAGAAAAATACACTAAGCAAAGAAAAAAACTACCACCTATTGCTTCCATGATGTTTAAGTGAATTGTAAAGGTTTGTTGTACTAATATACTTTCTAGAATTTGTTTAGTAGTTAAAGATCCCCTTCAATCATGTACCCGACCGTAGCTGCTATCTTGACGCGTTGGTCGGGCTTGCCTATCGTGATGACCCAACCGAACTATATTGGATGGAACATCTGTTCCAGCAGGTTCTATCACCCCAGGCAGGTCGATTGGAGAACGGTAAGACTAAAAGCAGCAACTCTAGGTCTGAGGGCGAAGTCGTACTGCTGACTGTAGAGGGGTGTGACAGCAGTAAGGTATTTCCCTCGGAAAACCAGCATCTGCAGTGATGCTGCCTTCTCCCAAGGAAGAAAGGGGTTAGAAAAGGTCGACCCTAAAAATGTCACACCTCACCCTACCTCACGGATTTCCGTCTCCGGCGGTAAGGCCCTTTGAAGAACGGAGCTAACACGTCAAAAACCTCCCACAAAAAGGCCGTGCGCGACTGACCTCAATCAGTTGTCTCCTGGGCTGTGCGGTCACGCTCCAAGGTCGTTAAGACCGACATTAATCCAATTTCGTTTTCAGGTTCCTCAAGAAATACCCTTCCACGATGTGGGCAGCCGGGAAGTGACACTAGCCCTCATACCCGTAACAGCACACGAGACCAAGTTGGTCACATTCAAATCCTTCCTACACCTCCTAATACCACTCTTACCTCCCCGACTAACCCTTCTCACGTCCTTTTATCACCTCGCACTGCTAGGGCGAACGATTCGAGTACGCGGAACGCTATTCCTGGTCTCCTGAAACCACGCTCTAAATTACACGTAGGAGCTTTTAACGTCCGAACACTGTGCCAAATAGGACAGCAGGCTTCCTTAGCCAAGACTTTAGAATCCCGCACCACTGAGGTGTGCTGCGTCTCCGAAACGCGCATACAGGAACCGAATAGCGTCATTCATTTGATCTCACCATGTTGAAATAAAGAACCAACTCGATTTACGCTTCGTGTATCTGGAAGCCCTGATTCTGCTTCCCGTGGCCTCGCCGGCGTAGGTATAGCATTGAGTCCTAGGGCAGAACTAGCTCTCTTAGACTGGATCCCAGTAGACAGTCGTTTGTGCGCTGTCCGATTAAACAGAACAATAGGGACTCGGAAAGATAGGGACACTCGTCGTTGCCTCTTCGTCGTCTCTGCCTATTCTCCCACTGACTGCAGCGCAGATGATGTAGAAGATGAGTTTTACAGAAAGCTTTCCGACCTTCTCCGAAAAGCTAGGCGCTCTGATGTAGTAATAGTGGCTGGTAACTTTAATGCTCAAGTAGGTAAACTAAGCGAAGGGGAGAGACACCTGGGTGGATCTTATGGTGTCGTGGCTCAAAGAACAGATAATGGCGACCGTCTGTTGCAGCTGTGCTCAGATAACCGCCTGTTCCTTGCAAATACTAACTTTAAGCATAAGGAAAAACATCTTTTGACATGACGACCTCCAAATTCGTCCCAACGTTGGACCCAAATAGATCACTTCGCTATCAGCCACCGCTGGAGGGGCTCGATAGAAGACTGTCGCTCATTCTGGAGCACATGCTTAGATTCAGATCATGCTCTAGTACGAGCGCGTATCTGTCTGCGTCTTACTGGACGTAGGAAAGACGCTGCAAGGAAGCCTCTTAGGGGCCTACTTAATGATAGTCAAGCTAAGAGTATATTTCAGGAACAACTAGGAAAACAGTTAGGCAGCCATGTATGTGATGGCCACCCCGATGCAGCGTGGAATGATATCCGGAAAACTGTGGAAACAGCAGTGATATCTGCTAGTACGGTAAACCAGAAGGTTAGGGAGAAACACTGGATCTGAGCAGCATCTACCGCACTTTTAGATGCTCGGAAACTCATTCCACCTGGCTCTGAACATATTGAAGAGTGGAGTCAGCTTAAGTGCAAGATGACAAGAAGTCTACGCAATGATCGTGAACAGTGGTGGATAACGAAAGCAAGAGAGATGGAAAAGGCAGCGGCAATAGGTAATAGCAGACAATTGTTCAGACTTGTTAAGGAAACGGGTATTAGGAACCCGACTGTTAGCGAAACAATCTCAGAGAAAGATGGACATATTATACATTCTCAATCCAGGAGATTGGATCGATCGGCAAACCACTTCAGGGATCAGTTCAACTGGCCTTCAGCCACACTTCGGTTTAGCGCGATCTCCAGTCAACCTGAATGGCAAGTTAATGTAGGTCCTCCGACTCTTTACGAAGTTGAAAAAGCCATAGGAAATCTGAAACGAGGGAGAGCAACAGGCCCTGACAGGTTTACTCCTGAGATTTTTAAGGATGGTGGTTCAGTATTAGCAGTGAGATCAACTGAGGTCTTAGGTAGAATTCGGGAACTGGATGCAATCCCATCTGACTGGTATCAATCACTGATTGTGCCAGTTTTTAGGAAAGGACAAAAGTCCTCTTGTGACAATCACAGAGGAATCAGTTTGACTAATATAGTGTCTAAAATATTAACTTCAATAATACTTCGACGCCTAACCAAAGCTCGTGAAGAGCAGATTAGAGAAAACCAGGCTGGTTTTCGACCTGAACGTGGTTGTATAGACCAGATATTTGCACTACGTCAGGTTCTAGAACACAGACGCCCCACAATGGCAGTATTTCTCGACCTTAAGGCGGCATTCGACTCTGTTGATCGTGAGGTTCTATGGCAGTGTTTGTCACTGAATGGAGTACCAAAGAAGTACATTAACCTTGTAAAGGCTCTCTACTCGAACACAACTGGTAGAGTGAGAGCTTATGGCGAACTGTCATCAGAATTGATTACCTCAAGTGGTGTTCGTCAAGGCTACCCACTCTCCATTTTTGTTTAACTTTGTCATTGACGTACTTTTAGAGATAACACTTTCCTCATCTAAATTTTCAGGAGGTGGACTTCTACCGGGAGATTCACTTTTTGACTTGGAATATGCTGATGACATAGTTCTATTTGGTGAAGACGCTGACAAAATGCAGAGTCTTCTGACCACTCTAAGCAACAATGCAAGCATGTTCGGGATGCGATTCTCCCCCTCGAAATGCAAAATGTTGCTTCAGGATTGGGTTGCATTGAAACCCGAACTAATGATAGGGAGTGAAGTAATTGAGCGTGTCGATCGCTTCACTTATCTTGAAAGTCTCATCAGCCCTTGTGGTCTGGTGTGTGACGAAATCTCAGCATGGATACAGAAGGCTCGACTATCTTTCGCCAACTTGCGTCATTTATGGAGTAGGCGAGATATCCGTCTATCAACCAAGGGACGTGTTTACTGTGCAGCAGTTGGTTCCGTCCTACTTTATGGCAGTGAAACATGGCCGGTAAGAGTGGAGGATATTCGTAGGTTACTAGTATTTGATCATAAGTGTCTTCGAAATATTGCTCGTATATCCTGGGACCATCGAGTAAGTAACGTTGTTGTTAGGAAACGTGTACTAGGTAAGGATGGCAAATCCATTGATGAAGTAGTGAAACTTCATCAGTTGAGATGGCTGGGACACGTGTTACGTATGTCCAACCACCGACTGCCTTGATGTGCAATGTTTTGTTGTATTGGAGTAGGTTGGAAGAAAGCTAGGGGCGGCCAGACCAAAACATGGCACAAGTCCATGAAGTCACTGACAAGTGGACTGAGTGATGTTGGTAGGTGTAGACTACCTGGTTGGGGACTGCGAGATGATAGCAACCGATGGTTAGAGACCCTGAATGACATGGCTCAAAATCGTTTGCGATGGTGCAGGTGCATCCACTCTTTGTGTTCTTCTAAATTCTAATCTTCTGATTCCGCCTTGTCTCTTTTTTTTTCTGTTCCCAAATTTATTTCACTGCATTATACTCTTTAAATAACATTTTCAAACCCTGATCTTCCCGATTACTGCTTATACTCTTATTACCTCTACCATTACGGGATTCGAATCGGCAACTGTAACTCTGTGCTAATGTGGTATGGTAACTCGAACTGATGTACGTACGTACATTTCTGTCACCCTATATCATTGTTATGTGTTCTGAGTATTAATCGTTTAAATTCAATTAACGTTTCATCTCATTCAAGTTAACATTATGTACTAATCATTATATTGTAGATGTTGACAATTTTATTTCATCAGTATAAGGTTTGTAGGGAATTTCCATAGATTTTAAATCACGGACTAATTTTATTGGGTTCATCACTAAAAATCTGAGATCACTGAACGGCGGTTTCATCCCAGAATGGGACTTAGCAGAATTGTGGATCTACGACCTCTCGTCCGGGAATCGAACCCCATACCCTCGGTCCCGTGAACGAATGACTAACTTCTAGATCTGTGACCCGGTATTTGACGGTGCTAATGTGCAACTTCACGATATTGTGCGCCCATCCTCAATTGCTTGGTCTGAATAACTGTCTCACACCCGAAATGGTTGAACTCCACTAGTTACTATGGTCTCGCAATATCGTGGACTGGTTGAAGTTGCCCAGTACCATCGGGTACCCGATTAGCAGTCTATAGGCTGAGTTCGCTTGTGAGACTGAAGGTCTTGAATTCAATTCCTGTATGCAAGGTCGTAGGTGTGCACTTCTGTTGAGCTCCCACACTACGATGAAATAGCCGTACAGTGCTTCCAGATTTTCAAGGGTTGTTCAAATAAGACTAGTTTATAAAAAAGTGGTAACAACTATTAATGATATTAATTCATTCTTCTACTTTACTGATGCAAAGTTTTCGTTGTCAAATGATTTTCATATGTGTGTACAGTATCTATGTCTACTTCCATATTGTTGTTTGGTACTTCACTTAATTACGAAACATAGATTTATGTTCTTGACCTTCTCTGAGAACTAGTGGTACAACTTAGCTGCTCAAACTGAAGTAAACAAAACAAAGTTCACACTTGTGATTCATTTTGTCGGAAGGTTATTGTTCCATTTTAATTTTTGTTGTTGATTATATTAGTGTAATACATTGGAAAAATTTAAAAAAAATATCATAGTATATTATATCATTCGTCATTTATTCCTGATATTTACAGTAATCTGAGGATATGAGTTAGTTCATCAAATGATTACGATAAGTTTTAATGTAATTTTAAGGGGATTAATAGTTTAAACGTGAATCACTAGTTAATCCTAGATTATTTGAGATTCATTTCATTACACATATAGATTATCCGAAAGTTTAGAAATGTTTTTGTAAAATAAATAGTATTTTGAGGAGGTTTTGTGGAGATTTATTTTATTTTTAGTATTTGTTATAGATTGATCTCATTTGGTATACAGTTGAGAAGTCAGAGGAAACTACTGATAAATCCCATACTCTAGGGTGAAGCAACTGTCCAGTGTTTATTGGCTTTCGGTGGTACCCCGAATGAGATTAATCTGTGGAGAATACTATCTCCCAAACAGATGTTATCCTGAAAGGCTTATGGAAATTATTTAAGTTTTGGTCTGTGATGAATTTTAACCTCGTGCAGTCTATTACTAGTAGACGATAGTTACGAAATACCTTAAATTAACTGATTTCGAAATTGTGAAGCATTCAATATCATTTCAGCAGCAAACTCATCGTAAAGTCTAAATGTTTCATTTTCGACGTAGTCATTGGTATTGTACACTTCACAATGTTTTATGCTTTTCAATATTTATCTAGCTGAAGTCATTACATGGTGTAAATAATCAACAGATGATTTCACGAGACATATACAAAACAATTAAGCCGATAAGTATGCATTTACCTAGGTACATAAACCGGATATCCCATTGTAATCTATATTTCTAAATAGAATCAAAAAATTCTCTTTAGACCTACTAAAGAAAAACGGTTGTAGGAGAATAAAATTTCATTTCATAGTCACAAGAAATTAAACATAATTTGGACTTTTTTAATTCCTTAAACTATTAAATCTGAATGCATTTCTTTTCCGACAATTCGTTCATTCAATTTGATTCTTTACAAATTCGAAACCTCTTCGGCGTGTTAGCACTTACGTTGTTAATATATTAGTCATGTGATGCATAAAATACAATTCCATTCATCAGCGGAAATGATAATGGAGAGCTATGTCATTATTGTCATACCAATTATTTGTATACATATTCATTTGTTATGTTTTTTTAAAAGAAAATTTTCTTTAAGTAGAACGTATTTAAATAAGTAGTTGTTTACCAGTTTGAATTTCCGTTTCCTTGATGAAGTTTATTCATTCGGTTGATTCATGTTATTATTTACTTACTTATGCCTGTTATCCCTCTTGAGGAATAGGCCGCCGACCAGAATTCTCCAACCAACTCTCTCTCTTAAGCTCTACTTTCCAGTTGTTTGCAAGTGTTGTCCATTCTTTTGACGTCTTCCCCGCATTCCTGGCGTAATATGTTCTTTAGTCTGCCTCTTTCCTTTGACTTCAGGATCTCAAGGTGGAGATTACCTCGTGATACAGTTTGATGATTTCCGCTATGTATGTCCTATCCACTTCCAGCGTCTTTTCCTAATTTCCTCTTCAGATGGAAGCTGGTTTGTTCTCCCCCACAGTAGGCTGTTGTCGATAGTATCCGACCAACGGAAATTGAGTATCTTGAGTAGATAATTGTTTAGAAATACTTGTACATTTTTGGTGATGGTTGTGGTAGTTCTCCAATTTTCAGTTCCGTACAGTTGAACTTTCTTGACTTTCATATCGAAGATTCTGACTTTGATGTTGTCTGACAGTTGTTTTGATGTTATTAGGTCTCATGCAATAAGTGTAATTCATAAAGTGTGAATACCCTTGAGTTTGTTGAATTGTCACAGCTTTATCTATCTAAATACAGATGATTTGTATTATTTTTTACTCCTTTTTTTAGGTTTTGTATTTAGAAGTAGTATTGTATAAACTTGCTTTTTGAAATTCGCTTACGCGTAAAACTTATGGTATTTGAATGCTGATATTAATAACTGAATTCATAGTGAATTTCATAGGACACTGTACAAATTTAGTTAGAAAGTCGTATAACTGAATTTGCTGAAAAATGTCCTAAAATTTCCAATTTCCTATTCGTTTAATTTACTTCACATTTTATTATGGATTTTGAGTTTAAATTACGAAGATACATGTACATTAGTTAATCCAACAATCTTTCCCTTCTTATTCCAGTGACTAAATAAGCGATTTGAGTTCATTTAAATGCACAACTTTAGTCTATCGGTATCTTTGAAGCATTACTGATTTGGATACAGTAAAGTTTGAGAGTGGGAAATTTCACGGTGAAACTTAATTGGATTATAAATTTTCAATTATTGAGTTTTACCTATAATATAGTACTTATGCTAGTAGTCAAGCAATTCTGCTTTCAACCATTGATTTATAAGTTCGAATTTCTCTCACACACGTCAGTTTAAACAGTCGAACAGTATTGCAAACTTGCACATAAACTATTTATTGAAGAGGAGAACACAAACCTGTACACGGTTAATAAATTACGATAATTAATAAAAAAAATTATTACATGGATTCTATGTCAACTAATTTTAAATTATATTGAAAAATTTTCAAGATATTCAAAGTACATAATACTACTGTTGCTCACGGAATGGGATTAGTTTTTTCGGGTACTTGTTTGAGATCTTAAATATTTTTTGCAGAGTTAAAGATACTTAAAATTGATCACAATTGTGGTGATACATTGTCTGTTATATTCCTCTACATCATTTTGAACTTTTCATGTTTTAAGCTACCCTTTCATAAACTTCACTTCCTATGTTCATGAGATATGTGGAAAACTATATCGTTATTTTTATAGTACCAGGTTTTAAATTTTTCTCATCTATTGCATTATCTAAAAATTTCTTTATCGAAACAAATGTTCACTGTTATTTTGCGATGATTTCACCATACAGATTTATGGCATGTCGGAAATCATCTGAAATTTCATGTGTAGTATGTTATTATTATTATTATCTACTTGTTTCAAGGGACAGATTTGATAATGGGTAAGACTATCTATAAATACGTAATAATTGTAGTTAATAATAGTATCATAAAATGTCTCCTTTTAAACAACTAACTTATAAGTTGGATATACCATGGTTTCTCTTTCCTTTTGAGTGTTATTATTATTCTGTAAGTAATCAATTTTGTACTACTGTTGTTTTTTCCCCACATAACAAACACATAATCCCCGTTGCCATCATCATCACCATTACTATTATTTATTAAAGTTGATCAACCGTAAAGAGGGCAAATTTTCTTACTTATCGGATGGTGATGCAGTCAGTAATAATAATGATCCGTTCTTCTCAAATACAACTGATCAGTTAAGTGAAGCTGATGCTTCTATACGAACTGGAACTAAAACACCGATTACTTCATCTGTTTCAATGGCATTGGAATTCCCTGGATCAATATCAGACGTACCAGTTAGTCATATTTTATTTTCGTTTTCTGGTTTTTCTACTGCCGCTTTTTTGATAAACATTGCTCAAATTGTACTATTATGGATTACCTTGTTCTGTCAATTCATATGTATACATATATAGCGATACTTTCTTACCGTACTTAGTAGTATGAACTAATTTTCTTGTTTTGCACATTATTGATCCACATTATATATATATATATATATATATATATATATATATATATATATATATATATATATATATATATATATATATATATATATATATATATATATATATACTTAAGCAAACAGTACCGGTTTTGTTAAATGTATGCAATGTGGAGAGTTTTTTCTCTTGTCTTTGTTCTGATGCTTATAATTAGTTTCAACATAACTTTTATAATCATTTAAGAAAAAAACTATTCTTTGTTGATTAAGGCATGAAATAATTTTTGACTGGTTAAACTTCAATTTAACAGGACACATTAAACCTTTCATTCTCCTTTGGTGTGGTTTTTTTGTTGGAATGGTGTTACTCTTTAGAAATTCATCTATTGAAACATGACATGTTTTATCGATAGGAGTGGTAATTTAATTATCCAGATAGTAGTAGATAGTAAGATCCAATTTTACAAGTGGTCAGTTGCAGCCCGACACAGTTCATTAATAACGACGTAAACTATCAAGCTAGTTGACTGGCATGGGTTCAAATCTCAGTGGGAGCCTCAATTCCATCAAATTTCTATCTATGGTTTGCTGATGAGTGTCGACTGACATAAAACGTAGGTTTGTGGTTTCTCGTTAACTATCTCTACATGTGAACGACAATAAGCAGGAGGAAAGTTAATTTATCGCGAAAGATTACGTATTATTTACATGATACACATACATTCAATCTTCCATCTGCATCTTTCGGTGTGCTATGCAGTCTGAACCGTTTTCTCTTCTGATCTCTACATATTATCCCGATGCCCTGCTTTCGATGCACTGAGACTCTTCATTCCTGACAATCGTAGAGACTATGATGTTACTTTCCGTCACACACTACTTACAAATAATCTTGTGAGTAGTATCCACTACCACCAACCTACTACCTAATAAACTCGCTTCTACAATGATAGTCTTAAATTATGTTGAAATTGATTAGTTATTGTTTTTTAGAACTTCGTGTATTGATATGGATGTTTTCTACACTTTTCTTACTCAAATATGCTGATTCACTTTAATATGTTTTTTTATTGCATCAGTAAGTGTTAGCAAATGAAAATTTGTTTATGTACTCCAAGTCTTAATTCGCTTCAGTAAATCACTGAACAAAACTAATTACAGTCGCATCAGTTCATCGCCATAATGAAGAATGTTGCATCGTGCGGTGTTCGAAAGTTGTTACTGATATGCAATCTTCCTTTACATGATTCTAACCGACCAATTTCACTGACTAACTCAATGGAGAATATATACTGATATATATCCCTTAGGAAGTTAAGCCATAAATGGTGTATGTCTCATTCCCATGTCAATCGTGTGCACTTATTATTTGATCGATTTCTAACTGACTCAATATATCAAAGCATAGCGGAATTCGAAGAATATTTTTACACACACTTAAATTTTGTTTCATCAACTGTCTTATTTCAGGAACTTGTTTATGACGCATACATTTTGTGATTTGCACATCGGTAGCATTCATCACAGTTGTAAGACACTGAAGCATATCAATCAATCGTAATTCGTTATTGTTTAGTCGGGTTTCAAAAAAACTTTTGCAGTTGAATCGATAAGAATCGAATATAAAAACTTTTCGTTAGTTGAAACTAAGAAATAGTATTTTGCATACACATAATTATTCGATCATAATTTTGGGACTTATTTTGCTTAACACTTATTAGCTGTATGCTACTGTTAATCTATGAAAAATGCTTCTGGTCTTAAGTAATACGTGTAATATTACGTGGTAGTTCGCACAGTTACTGTTATAACATTTAGGACGAATGAATCAGAACTTTCTGAATGATGTTTGGTTTTTATTTGTCTATTATTATAGCAAACGTTGCATGATCTTATTTTAGGAAAACCATTTTACGGTTTTCGTAGTGTTTTTCCTCTTATTACTCTATTGAAAACACCCATAAACGCGAGAACAAACGTAATCATAGATTGGATCGTGGTATCGACAGGATTCAACGATTTTCACGACCCTGTGCTTATAATCATCAGGTGATAAATAGTGACTAGCTTCTAGAGAAAATTCACGGAGTTCTGCTGAGAAGCCATGACCGATTTAGTTCAATCTTATATGGTGTGAGGAAGTTTACCACCGGAGACAATGAAAAACAGTCGCTCAATATCATGGGTCGATTGAATTTAGGCTTATCTGTCATTGGATATCGGCTCAATAGTGTAGAGATTAACTATTCGCACACGAGACTGAAGGTCTTTGGTTCGATTTCCGGATGCGGGGTCATAGATGTCCATTACTGAGGAGTCCCTCACTAGGATGAAACAACTTTCTAGTGCTTTCAGATTTTCAATCGTTATATAACGTAGTTTGGTTCATGAACTCAACAGTAATCTTACCCAATCTGAGTTGCTTGTTTATAATCTTGATACATAATAAGATGAAACCTCATTCAATGGTTTCAGTCGTCAACGCAAGTCGAATGGATGGTTTTCAGAGTTTCCTAAAGCCTGGAAACAATTAGTCCCTAGATAAATAGGTTATTTGTTCCTGTTTAACGATCGTATTGGATTTTTGTCCTTTTTATGGAGGATTTAAGTGCGAAATTGTTTGAGTCCACTTTAACCATTCTCAGAATTGCTTTAAATTAAAGTGCTTATTTAATACTTTTGATTTCACTTCTTCTTTATTTAGAAACATATTCCTGGTATAACACATTCTGTTACACCTGAGAGTATAACTGACCAACATATGAATGCTACACATGCGCCAAGTTCATCAATGCATTTTACTACATCTGCTGAACGAGAAAAGAAAACTGAGAATTTGATTTATCACGAACAAGATACTACTAGTGGACTAGTAGTAGGTGAATCTCGTGTTAATGAGTTATGTCGAGAGATTATATTAGATGATGAAACAAACCAACCTTTCAATTCAGATCTACGTTCTAGTTCTAGAAATCATATCCCTCAAATACATTTCGGATCTCAAGAGTTTTCAACTCATAATCGTGGATCGTATTTAATAGATCCTAATATGAAACCTATTGTATCAGGTGATCATTTAAGTTCATTTCGTTCGGAAAATGTTCAAAATTTTCGAAGTGAAGTTCAAGATTGTTTTAATAATAATCTTTTGTCCGCACTATCAATTAGCAATCAAAATACGGATAATTTCGCTAATCGCTCAACTACCAATGCACATTTAAGTCCTGGTTCTTTTTCAGAACCATCAAGTTATGCAACACAGCGTTCTTCACTTACTTCATCGAGACGTATTAAAAGGCCTGTTTTTGAACCTTATGATGAATATTTTTATCCCAAAACTTCTCCAAACATAGAATCGAGATCGCGTTCCCCTATTCTACCTTTGAAACAAACAACTGTCTCACCCCCCACTAGCTATTGTGATTCGAATCGTCTAACACATCTACCACCCAGCAAGCATTTAAATATAACATTATGGGAAGGCAATCAAACACCCTCAATAGCAGATTCAAGCAGACCTAATCAATCAGAACTATATAACAATTCCTTTAATTTATCCTCAACATCACCATCCAATAGACAGTTATTATCCGGTTCATATGATCGTAGCCTTTCTTCATGCTCTAATCTCAAGTGTAAAGATGACCCATATAGTACTCTTATAAGGGATACACAGAATTTATCTCATAATTTACAGACTTCATCCAGTACTCTGTCTATGCAGGAGAGATTTAGTCATTTCCCTGTTATTCATGAGTCTATAACCTCATTAAATTCGTGTAAGATACAACAGCAACCACCACAACAACTTCAGAATCCTCCAAGTATTCTGGATGATGAAATGTGCATTTCAAATTTCAGCCCGTTTCATTTTATGTCCAATACATTGAATGATGTCATTAATAATAATCCATCAAGTTCGAGTAATACACAAAATCTAAATGATAATACCAATAGTAATGAAAATCGATCCCCTAAATTCACTCATACAACGACTAATAATAGTAGTAGCAAGAATGATAGTATTAATAACAATAATCATATAATTGCAAGCGGTGTTGGTAGTATACCGTTAAACCAAAGATCATTTAAACCAGATCAGTTCATTGAGTCTGTACCTAGTCCTGAATTATTACTATTTCTTTCATCCAATAATAATAGTAATAATAATAATTTAAAAATAAATACAGCAACAGCGCCTATGACAACAACAATTTCAGATTTAACCCATCCTTCTTATGATTTACAGTCATATTCTTCATCAAAGATGTGTGTACGCACAAATAAGTCAAAAATGCATTTCCCAGGTAAGCACAAACAAATCAACGTACAATATTTATCAAACTTTTCAAGGTGTTTTACATTGAATATGAATTTATTATTGATTGTGTTTATTGTGAAGCTTTTAATTGTAAATCGAGTAATTCGAAATATTCGCTTTTTGGTACCATATTTTAACTGAAAGAATTAACTATTCTAAATATTCACAGTTATGAGGTACGCGTAGTAATTAGACATATCTCAATCTGCATAAGGGGGATTATAGAGATCGTTGAATTTTATAGGTCATATCAGCATCTTACCTTAGTTCAACTAATGAGGTAGTGGTTTTAACAGGTAATTCTTGAAGTTCTAGTTAGAAACCGTAACCATTGGTGTTGTGACTTTATGTCCGGCTTTTTATCACGTGATTTATCCACCAGTCAAAATACGACTTATACAATCTTAGCACTGTGCCAAACCAATGACTTTCGACCGGTATGGGCAGCCTAGCGTCCTTATTGGTCCTATGTCCGCCTAGCCCGTCCACTTGAGTCCAGAACACTAATACCAGCTCCCGCTATGCGAATCATATATTTCAAAAATACTGTGTTTATATATCAAACAAATAGACCGCAACGCACCATAAAATAGGAAATAACATTTGTACACAATAAAGCCAAAAAGTGGCTGTGAACGTGGGAGGCAGTAGTCAATAAACTGAACATAGCTTAAGAACAGTAAATCGTACATGAGAATATATAAATAATATTAGTTCATTAATAGGTCTCACTCGTTACTCCTAATGTAATCTTCACTAGGATATAACAATTGGAATCCATTCATGTCGGATGTGATGCACATACCGAAAGTTACTATTAGAAGATGATTAGACCTGTAAATCATTCGAAATCAACTCAATAGACCGAACGTTAAGCGCACTCTGCGTGACCTGAAGGTCTTCGAATTAATCCCCGGTAGAGTTATGAATTCTCACTCCAGAGGAAGTCTCATACTAGTGTGAAACAGCTATCATGGTTTCATAAAACTATGTAAGATTCCAAGTTCTTATCAGTTAACTTGTGTTATCATAGAAAGAATTCCATGTAAATATTTTTTAAGATGTTGATTATCAAAATGAACAATCCATTTCTCCACCTAGATTTGGAGGCTGTTTTCTGTGATAAATTCTTGTTTCAATGATTATTAGTTTTTTACTCAGTGACTAATTTCATAGTCTTGAGCGTTCAAATGTCAACTAGGAGTTCATCGGTTTGAATCGGTTTCCATTTCTATTTCTTCTTAAAAATTAGTTGATATCATTTTCATCTATGTAGACTAGGTATTATCTAGTTAAATTATAATTTTAAGTAGCCATGCTTTTTATCTAACGATTGTGGTTCTTAAGATTGTGTTCAGATTGTCTTAGTGTTTCACCTTTGGTTTTCTTTATTTTATTAATATCATCTGTCTTCATTTCAATCCTGCAGTAGTAATTATGTGAGTAGCTTATCTATTTGGTTGTCTTATGATATAGCCGTTGCTGCTACCTTGAGGTGGTGGATGTACTTGCTTATCATAATGAACCAATCGAGCTATACTGGCTAGAACAACCGTTCCTGAAGGTCCTACCATGTCAGACAGGTCGGTTGAAGAGCGGTAAAACTAAAAGCAACAAACCTAAGGTCCGAAGGCGAAGTCGTACTGTTGACTGTACAGAGGTGTGACAACAGTGAGGTGTTTCCTTCAGACAACCAGCATGATAGCGATGCTGCCTTCCCACAAGGAGGGGTGGGGTTAGAAAAGGTCGACCCTAAAAATGCACACCTCACCTTATGTTATGAATTTCCGTCTCCGACGGTAAGGCCCTTTGAAGAACGGAGCTAACACGTCAAAAACCTTCCACGAAAAGGCCGTGCGCGACCGGCCTCAAGCATTTGTCCCTTGGGCACTGCGATCACGCTCTCAGGTCACTGAGACCGCTTCTAATCCAATTTCCTTTTCAGGTACCTCCAGGAGAACCCTTCCTCGGTGTGGGCAACCGGGAAGTGATAACCACCCTCATACCTCTAACAGCACTCAAGACCACTGTATTCATAATCAACCTTCCTCTTCAATTCCTATTATTCCTCCTACATCGACTTTCAACTCTAAACTTCCTCTTTCGGCTTCCTCCTCAAGTGTCACCATAGCCAACGATTCTAGTGCTTAAAACTCTGTCCCAGGTCTACTGAAACCTCGCTCCAAACTACACATTGAAGCCTTCAACGTACGCACCATATGTCAAATCGGTCAGCAGGCTTCCTTGGCTAAAACCCTAGAGTCTCTTTGCATTGATGTATGCTGTGTCTCCGAAACACGCATACAGGATCCTAGTGTGGTCATTCACTTGACCTCACCTCGTCAAAACGGAGAGCCAACGAGATACACCCTCCGTGTATCTGGTGACCCGATGGCCAGTTCTCATGGACTGGCAGGTATAGACATAGCACTAAGCATGAGGGTGGAACAAGCACTGTTAGAGTGGATCCCCGTCAACAGTCGTCTATGTGCTGTTCGGTTAAACGGCTCCGTAAGAACTCGGAAGGATAGAGAGGTACGTCGTTCCTGCCTACGCTCCCACTGACTGCAGCTCAGATGATGTGAAAGATGAATTTTACAGAAAGGTCTCTGAACTTCTTCAGAAAGCTAAACGATCAGACATAGTACTCCTAGCAGGTGACTTTAATGCCCAAATAGGTAGTTTAAACCGAACAGAAAGGCATTTAGGTGGGTATTTTAGTATTCCAGCACAGCGAACAGATAATGGTGATCGTCTGCTGCAACTATGCTCAGACAATCGTTTATTTTTAGCAAGTACTAATTTCAAGCATAAGGAGAGACATCGCCTAACATGGCGACCCCTTGCACCAAACCAAATAGACTCAAATGGACCATATTGCCATCAGTCATCTTTAAAGAGGCTCGATAGAAGACTGACGCTCGTTCCGGAATACCTGTTTGGGCTCCGATCATGATATAATACGAGCACATATTTGCTTGCACCTCGCTGGACGCAGGAAAACCACACTAAAAAGACCCACTAGATTTGAACCGAGTGACGAAAAAGCTGAAAGTAGACTCCATGAACAACTGAGGTCATAGTTAGGTAGCTCTGAATTCGAAGCCGACCCAGATGCTACTTAGAAAGATATGCGAACAGTTGTGGAAACAGCAGTGACTAAAGAGTTACAAAAAACCGATGGATTTCTTCAAGGTCTTCAAGTCTATTCTCGTAAACTCATCCCATCAGACTCTGAACACGATGAAGTGCGTAAACAAATCAGATCTAGGTTAGGCAAAAGTCTAAGGAACGACCGTGAGCAGTGGTGGGCAACGTAAGTAAAAGAGATGGAAAAGGCGATGGCTGTAGGTAACACAAGACAGCTCTACAGACTAATAAAAGAGACTGGAATTAATAAGTCAAGTGTAAGTGAGGCGATCTCAGAAAAAGACAACAATTATCTGCTCTAGGCCCAGACGTTTAGAAAGATGGGTGGAACACTAAGGAGCAGTTCAGCTGGCCTTCAGCTACTTGACAACTACCCACCACTGCCAAACAGCCTGAATAGAACATTGAAGTAGGTCCCCCCTACTCTAACTGAAGTTCAAAAGACTGTAGCTAATCTGAAACGAGGAAGAGCAACTGGTCCAGATGGATTGGCTTCAGAGGTCTTTAAAGATGATGGTCCAATTTTAGCGATTAGGTTGACTAATATTTTAGCTCAAATGTGGGAGTTGGACGTAATCCCATCCGACTGGTCCCAATCACTGATTGTCCCAATATATAAGAAGGGGTCATAATCATCATGTGACAGTCATAGAAGGATTATTTTGACTAGTACAGCATCTAAAATACTAGCCTCAATAATTATCGGGCGCCTAGCTAAGACTCGTGAACTGCAAACACGTGAAAATCAAACGGGCTTCAGACCTGGTCATGGTTGTATCGACCACGTATTCACCGTTCGTCAAATATACTTATCGGCGTCCGACAATGGTGGTCTTTCTTGACTTGGAAGCAGCATTTGACTCTGTTGACCCAGAGGTTCTATGTCATTGAAAGGTGTACCTCAGAATCACATGAACCTTGTGAAGGCTCTTTACTCGAACACTACTAATTGAGTACGAGATTATTGCGAACTGTCATCTAATTTTGCAACTTCAAATAGTGTCCGTCAAGGCTGTCCACTCTCTCCATTTTTGTTTGCCTTCATCATAGACCTACTGATGGAAATAACGCTCTCATCGACTGAATTTTCGGGCATTGACCTCCTTCCAGGTGATTGACTTATCGATTTAGAATACGCAGATGACATAGTCCTGTTTGGTGAAGACGCTGATAAAATGAAGAGTGTCTTGGCAGCACTGAGCAACAATGCCAAGATATTTCGGATGCATTTCTCCCCCTCTAAATGCAAGTTATTGCTTCAGGACTGGGCTGCGTCAACACCTGAACTAAGGATGGAGAGTGAAGTAGTCGAATGCGTTGACAACTTCACTTATCTTGGAAGTCTGATCATCCCTAGTGGGTTGGTGTCAGACGAAATCTCTTCACGGATTCAAGAAGCTCGTTTGGCTTTTGCCAACTTACGTCACCTATGGCGGAGGCGAGATATCCGTCTACCAATTAAGGGACGGCAGTTCGTTCTGTCCTACTTTACTGCTACGAAATGTGGCCATTAATGGTAGAAGACACCCGTAAGCTACTAGTATTTGACCACAGATGCCCTAGGAATGTTGCTGGCATCTGCTGGGATCACCGGGTAAGTAATAGTGAGGTTAGACGCAGGGTATTAGGGAATGATGGTAAATCAGTTGATGAGGTTATGAATCTTCATCGACTGAGATGGTTGGGCCACTTGTTACGTATGCCTGAGCACCGATTACCACGACGCGCAATGCTGACTAGTGTTGGGGATGGTTGGAAGGAAGTGGCCAAACCTGAGCGTGGCATCAGTCCTTAAATTCACTAACTTCTGGCCTTTGCCATGTTGGTAGATGCAGA